CCGGACATACATTAGACATTTTTGTGCTGTCAGGGTATAAATATATTAATCTCCGCGAAATTGCCTTTTTCATAACTGAATGATAATTTATAACGCTTTTATTGATCATAACGTCTGTGTTCAAGAGGCTATATAATATATGTATCTCCAGAAGTCAGAGATATCGAAAAAAAACTTTTGGACGTTTAATAGTACTTATTATTGGAGATTGCTTAATATTGTAAATGGAAAAAAGAGAAAACAGGCTTTAACGAAAGTAATCAATGAAGAAGACAGCTTCGCGGAGATTAATATACTCATACCCAGATGGCACAAGGATATCTAATGTATGTCCAGTGTACTCTTTCTAAAAATATTCTAATAAATATTCCAAAAATTTATACAACAATGGATCACATACAAACATTGGTACGTAGATATATATTCGATTAAATGCCTTGTGAATCCTGAGTCGATTAAACTTTTCCAATAAACACAAGCACGATAGTTCTCGCTCTTTATTAGCAATTTATTTCTCAAATAAACGATGTTTTGCTATAACTAAAAAAAAAGAGAAAGAGAGCAAGAACTGTAGTGTTTGTGTTTATAGAAAGAGTTTAATCGACTCAAAATTCACAGAGCATTTAATCGAATATATATTTAGGAAAAATAAATAATGTTTCTGCCGTCAAAAAGCTGTTTTACTAATTACAGTCAAGTTACTGTCGGTACAGCTCGACGTAATCGTTCGCTATTAGTTCCTCTATCTGCTCCCTACGGTACCGCTTGTACACGTAAAACAACGCCATAAACACCACGAAGAGGAGCACTATAATGCATAAGGCGACGCTTATCCAGACCGCTCCAACTTCCTCGGTCTCTATCTTCTGCGGTATCATGGCCGAGCACTGGTCGAACAGCTCGTACGTCCGATTGCTGAATCTTACGTTGGCGCAGGTCTCGTTCAAAGCTGCCGGTGACTCGGTACATTTGTAGAGATCGTCTGTCTTTATCTTGATCTGCCGCAGCTTCACCCACGCGCTGAACTTCTGACAATCGCAGCTGCTCCCGTTGAATCTGATCCTATTACTGGTCAGGTCAAGGTCCTTCAGCGAGCAAAACGGCGCCAGATCCTCGGTGCTGATCGAGGTGATTACGTTGCCGGACAGGTTCAGATTAAGGAGGGTCGGCTGGACGCCTATGTTCGGGATCACGGATAGCAAGTTCCTATTTAGCTCCAGCACTCTGAGAGGCGATGTGACCTTTACCTTGAACACGGAATCGTGGAGCAGGTTACGGTCGAGGTAGAGTGAGTGAAGATACGGCAATTGGAAGATACTTTTGGGCAGTGTGTACATTAAGTTCTTCGTGAGATTCAGCACCTCCAAGTAAGGCTGATTGGCGAAGGCTGCCTTGTTAATTTTATAGATGAAATTGTTACCTAGATTGATGTAGGTCAGTTTCTTGTAAGAATGCAGACTTTTATTCGTCAGTACCATCAAATGACTCCCGCTCATATCCAGCATCTAGCAAACAGAGAGAAAAGTCAGAAAAATTAAACGTATACAAAGTGAACGATTTTAATCGAGTCACGCGAATATTGTTTGAACAATGCATTTTAGAATGCTTCGTACATAAGTTTTTTAACTCGGATGAGAATATAAGATAGTGTCATTAGTTTGATTCAATATCGGATAGTCGCTTGAATGTCACATAAAAGTTATTTTGAATTTCTTAAATAAGAGTAGCTAGAGAAATGTGCACTGAAAATAGGGGTTTCCAAAGGGTTAAAAAATTGAAGATGACCTTTAAACGTCTATCCAAGGTCAAATATATGACTTAAAATTTTATATAAAAAATTATATTTATTATAGAAACTTTTATTAATAATAATATTTAAAGTTTTATATACTGTTTTCAATTTATAAATTTTAATTTCCCATATTTAAAAAAAAAAATAAACAAAATTTTGTGGATTTTTAGAACTCATTACGAATCCCTCTATTTTATGCTTTGTAAATGAAATTAAAACAATAATCACTGTATATGCAGTAAATATTTTTTTATAATAGATAAAAAATACATGACTATTGTTTTTATTCCAATTTTAAGTAATATATATTTTTAAACAACAATCTCATCTCTATGTCCGCCTTCAAATCAAACCAAATTTCGTGCAATTTTAAAATTGAGTAAACCTTATTATAATATTTTTAATTCTTAAAACTTAATTTCATAATTATTGTCAAAAAATAACACGGAATCTCACGAATTTTTAGAAAACGTTATGAGTTCCTTTATTTTATGCGGATTGTATTAGAAAAGATTAAAAAAAGATCCTTGCGATATATGCAGAAAATATTCTTTTATAATGACAAAAACATACATGACAATTATTTTATTGCAATTTTAGCAAAAATATTTAAACGACAATCTCACCTGTATGTCCGCCTTCAAATCTATAGGAATTTTTTAAATTTGGATTGGAGCATTGAGTTTCAGTACTGAATTAGCTCTGCTGTAGTTGCACATTGTCGGCGGCGATTTCTGGTCGACAATTTTCGTGGCTTTCGGTGAACTCAGCACCAGAACATCCGGTACCGTGACCATGATGAAGCACAGTAAGAAGAATCCGTTAATGAGAAAGATGCTCATATCTGCAACAGAATCAGCGGAAACATACGCTTATAAACTTTGCCGCAACCGGATAATTAATCCCTCGCGAAAATGCAATATTTGATATTCCCTTTATACACCGCCTTCTTATCATTTATAATATTTTAGTATTACACAATATATCCCCATCTTTTCTATTATTTTTAAATTATATATTTGTTATATAATATGTTATATATTATTTTATATTTCATATATATTTTATTATTATATATTATCAAGAACAGCGAAAGTAGACGACCAGACTGACTACGATTCAAGAGTTATTGTTGACACATTCAACCGACTATTCTGGTCAAGTGTCTGCACTTAATACATATAAATTAAATACAAAAAATATGACAATTAGTACTAAAAATTGATAGTAAAAAATATAGTATAAAGATATTACACATATAACGCGATCTAATTGATATGAATTTCCGTAACAATATGAAAAATTATCGAACATAATAAGTGTATACCGGCATGCAAGATACAAAATAAACAAAAGAAACGAAAAGGGAACGGAAATGATCGTGAGCATATGATATATAAACAGTAGTCACTATAGTAGTTATAAAAGCGAAATGATAAAAATGTGTCACATTACCTAGAGAAAATTATTCAACTTATATACACCACAGAACTTCACTTTATTACACAGGTACGGTCAAATCAAATCGTGTGGTATGAGTCGAGAGACGATGTGTGTCGATCGACAGTTCAATACGTACTAAGTTTCCGTGCTGGTATCAAAACAATAACATTGAACAAGAGAGGTATAGCTGTTTCGAGGAAACTGAATGTGATATTAAGAATCAAATCGTATATTGAATTTTTAAATTGTCTGTGCTCTTCTGTAAATTCATGGAGTCTTTATGCATTATTATAAAAACCGTTTCCGCAATATCTTTTTTATGTAATGCGTTTCTGTAGAATGGAGGGAGATTGCCAGTCAAAATCATAATGGAAAGTTATATATTATACATACAAAAATCAATACGCAAAACATTTACTCTTTATTGAATTTTCGAACGTTTCGACCATTTTTCATGGTCATTTTAAATGTAGGTACATTAAAAAGCGAGTTACATTCTTGTCTATATAATATAAATTTATGGTTGCAAACGCCAGTTGTATGAAAAAACTAAGTATTACCACTAACAATCGTAAAACACGGAGTAAACAATTTTAAAAAACTGTTGCAAAACAAATCGCTATTACATCGATAAAAAGCACGCGACGACATTGAGTGATCGGCTCGGAAATCAGAGATTAAACGTATATAGGGTGGGCGATTTTAATCGATCCACGCGAATATCATTTGAGCGATGCATTTTGAAAAACTTTATATAAAATTTTTTTTATTTCGAGAGAAATATAAGATGGTGTCATTGGTTTGATTTTGCATAGTCACTTAAAGATCACATAAAGGTTATCTTCCATTTCTTAAATGGAAGTAGTTACAAATATATGCATTGAAAAATAGGAGTTTTCATTTAAGAAATTGAAGATAACCTTTATAGGACCATCGAAGATCAAATATATAATATAAAATTTTATATGGAAAATTAAATTTAACATAAACTTTTATTGAATAATAATATTTAAAAATTTATGATATTGTTTTTAATTTGTAATTCTTAATTTCCCATATTTAAAAAAAAGTGAAAAGTAGTTTCGTGGATTTTTAGAACTCGTTAATACGAATTTCTCTATTTCATACGCGAGTTGCAAATAAGATACAAAAAGTCATTATATATGCAGTAAATATTCTTTTATAATGGAAAAAAACATATGACTATTTTTTAATATCAATTTTAAATAAGATATATTTTTATACAACAGTCTCATCTTTATGTCTGCCATCAAATCTAATTGGATTTCGTGCAATTTTAGATATAAGTAAATTTTATTATATTATATTTAATTCATAAATCTTAATTTCATAACTATTGTCAAAAGAATGAAACGGAGTCTAACGGATTTTTAGAACACGTTATGAATTCCTTTATTTTATGCAAAGTGGAGATAAGGTAAAGAAAAGATTATAACGATATATGCAAAAAATATTCTTTTATAATAGCAAAAGCATACCTGACAATTTTCTATTGCGATTTTATGTAAAATATATTTTTATTCATATTTGAAAATCTTACCTGTATGTCCGCCTTCAAATCTAACGAAATTTCGTTCGATTTTAATTTGGAGCACCGCGCTTTCAATATTGAATTAGTTTTACTGTAGGTGCACATAGTCGGTGGCGGATTCTGGTCGATTATTTTCGCGGCTTCCGGTGAGCCCAGCACCAGAACATCCGGTACTGTGACCACGACGAAGCACAGTAAGAAGAATCATTCATAATGAGAAAAATGCTCATATCTGGAAAAAAATCAGTAGAAATGTGTGCTAATAAACTTTGTTCGAACTTTGCCGAAACCGGATAATTAATCGGTCGCAAAAGTGCAATATTTGCGATTCCTTTTTTACACCGCAACATTATCATTTATATAGTATATTAATATCACGGAATATTTCTCCATCTCTCTCTATCACTTTTTAAATTATATATTTGTTATATAATATATGTGCTATATTATTTTTTATTTTATATATATTTTATTATTATACATACATTATCAAGGACACCGAGAGTAGGCGACCAGACTGGTTACAATTCACATGTTTATTGTTGACCCATTCGACCGACAATTTTGGTCAAGTGTCTACAATTAATATATCTAAATTAAATACACAAAATATGACACTTACTAATAAAAATTGATAGTAAAAAACAAAGTTTTAATACATGACTACGATATTACACATATATGTCGATAAACCTAGACGTGTGTGGTATAAACATTACAATCAATCTAATTAAAAATGATATGAATTTCCGTGACAAATAATAAAGTATCAAGCATTGAAACTGTATACCGGTATGCAAGATACAAATTAAACGAAAAGAAAGAAAAGGAGAGCGAACATGGTTGTGCGCGTATGACACAAAATAAAATAAAGAGTAGGCGCTACAGTAGTTATAAAGCGAAAAAGATAAAAATGTGTCACATTACCTAGAGACAATTAGTCAACTTAAACACACCACAACACTTTACTTTATTACACATGTACGTTGAAATTAAGTCGTTGTGGTGAGTCGAGAGACGATGTGTGTCGATCGAGAATTCAATACGTACTAAATTCTCTGTGTTGATATCAAAACAGTAGCAATGATTTAGAGAGATATATTATTTCAGGGGAAGCGTGTATGATACTAAGAATCGAATCGTATATAAATTTAAATTGTCTGTGCTTTTTTTAAATTTATAGAAACTTTATACATTTTTATGAAGATCGTTTCTACAATATCTCTTCTCTTGTAATGCTTTTCTGTAGAATGGAGGAAGGTTACTAGCTTAATCATGCTTGAAAATATATATTATACATACAGAAATCAATGCGCAAAACAAATTTACTCTTTATTCATTTTTCGAACGTTTCGAACCATTTTTTATGGTCATATTCACCGTACAATAAAAAGCTAGTTACATTCTTGTTTATATGATATAAATTCATGATTGCAAATGCCAGTTGTAAGTAAAATGAAGTATTACCCCTAGCAATCGTAAGACACGAAGTCAATAATTTTAAAAAATTGTCGCCAAAAAAATGGCTATTACATCAACAAAAAGCGCGCGACGACATTGAGCGATAGGTTTTTTTTTTTATTTGACCGGCATTCGAAGAAATTAACGCCGAAATTCTTCTACATATATCGCCGCCTAGAGTATAGTATAATAATCTCTAAAAACTCACCTTTAAAAAAAGGTAAAAAAAGGCGACCAGTTAAGGGCACGCCATTAACAAAAATTATTTATTGCAAACCCATGTAGAATCCTATCCTATTGCAAACCCATGTAGAATCCTATGAAAAATTAATCATTGCAAACCCATGTAGAATCCTAGGCAAAATTAACCATTGCAAACCCATGTAGAATCGTACCCATTGCAAACCTATGTGGAATCCTATGAAAAAATAACCATTGCAAACCCATGTAGAATCCTATGAAAAATTAACCATTGCAAACCCATGTAGAATTGTATTAAAAATTATCCATTGCAAACTTATGTAGAATCCTACATTGCAAACCCATGTACAATAGAATTGTATGAAAAATTATCGATTATAAACCCATGTACAATCGTAACAAAAGTAATGAAATAAAAAAAAAATTGCGACAAGTGAAAGTAGAAACTTGTACCAGTGGAAAATTAAAGTTGCAGACATATATATAGTCGTATAATGAATCAGTAAAAATTTAAATTTGCAAATGTAGAATCGTACCATAAAAAAACTTATCTTTAAAAAAAAAAGATAAACAAGATGCCAAGTCCATTAATATAAAATAAAAAGAAATAAAAAAATTGTAGTTAAAAAAACTGGGCGCGCTGCTAAGTTTCAAAATTTCAATGCACTTAAAGTAACATTAATTATTTAAACACAAAACATATTTAACTGCAATGAGTTTAAAAATAACATTTTTAATTTTAATATCATTAGAATATTATTAGCAGCGCGCCCAGTTTTTTTAACTACAATTTTTTTATTTCTTTTATTTTATATTAATGGACTTGGCATCTTGTTTATCTTTTTTTTTTAAAAGATAAGTTTTTTATGGTACGATTCTACATTTGCAAATTTAATTTTTACTGATTCATTATACGACTATATATATGTCTGCAACTTTAATTTTCCACTGGTACAAGTTTCTACTTTCACTTGTCGCAATTTTTTTTTATTTCATTACTTTTGTTACGATTGTACATGGGTTTATAATCGATAATTTTTCATACAATTCTATTGTACATGGGTTTGCAATGTAGGATTCTACATAAGTTTGCAATGGATAATTTTTAATACAATTCTACATGGGTTTGCAATGGTTAATTTTTCATAGGATTCTACATGGGTTTGCAATGGTTAATTTTTCATAGGATTCCACATAGGTTTGCAATGGGTACGATTCTACATGGGTTTGCAATGGTTAATTTTGCCTAGGATTCTACATGGGTTTGCAATGATTAATTTTTATAGGATTCTACATGGTTTGCAATAGGATAGGATTCTACATGGGTTTGCAATAAATAATTTTTGTTAATGGCGTGCCCTTAACTGGTCGCCTTTTTTTACCTTTTTTAAAGGTGAGTTTTTAGAGATTATATCATTCATTTTTGTATATGATATAATAACATTACCGCAATGCCATGACTCTGTGTATGTTTTACTGTTTAGACGTTTTGATGCTTTAATCAAAGATACTTGATTCTATATATATGTTTATACATAATTTAAGAAATATTTTCAATATCTTAAATCATTTCTTTCCTTATTTGCAAACATGTTTCAAATAATATTTGATATCATAGCTTTAAAAGATATGTATTAGAACACGTATTATCATATTAGCACAAATGCGTAATATCATATACGATAAATATAAAATATATTTTATTACTGCATATATTACTTTAATGCAGTTTACTTTATAAAGTATCTCGTTCGAGTACTCGTTATTTGGGATCATATTATTGCTTTATATGATAATATAATTGTGTAAATGATATTTTATTGTACCGTATGATCATATAATTTTAATTGATCAAGTAAAATATAAAAAATATTTTTCTTATTAAATATATATATATATATATATATATATATAATTAGACTTAAAAGCTTGATTTGATTTACTAATATTTATCACGAACATCTGTTTAAGAGAGTTATGCCGGAATATAATTCTGTGATATGATCTATATTAATTTGATCAATTTTTTTTAAATAATATAGTAATAAATATTAATAAATATAATAAATATTAATTAATAAATATTAATAGATATTAATAATTTATAATTTTATAGTATATAAAACTGAAGATATAAAGAAAATGGAATACAAATAAATATTTTTTTCCGTCAAGCTATCACTACATTTTGCACATGTCTAGTGGATTTTAGTAATTATCTTAATTATTTATATCATATTAATATAATCATTTTGTTATTATATTGACTTTTAATTTAATCATCCCTTTTATGAATCAAAATTTTGCAATGTAAAAAGACGAACATAACGTTGAATAGTAAATCGTAAAAAAATTAAATGTGAACTTGTATGTGTATTGCTATTTTTCATAAATATTAAAGTGATCACAAATTTTGTTTGTAACAGCTCTTTTCTCAAAACTCGACACATAAGCCTGAATAATACCTTTTTTCAACAATAGAAAACTATAGTGAATAAAGGAATACGCAAAAATTTTGTATAATGATATGTATTATGTATTATACATAATTATTCAAAAACGTTTGTTACAACATTTTATACTTTTCCGTCTTAAGAGAATATATATATTGATTAAACAAAGTTGTATATTGTACGTCCTGTTTCCCTTAAAATATCATAGAGATTAATTTAATAATCTTGTCACATTCTGTTGTAATTAAATATTCGTTATTATTAAGTCAATTACAATCGTGGTCATTTTAATATAATTAATTTTCAATTCTCACTCCTTTACAATTGATGCTGATTTTCGTTGGCCTACTGAAATTCTTCATTTCTAAGTGCAGCCAAAAATTTGCCACATATATGCTAGCATGGTTCGGTGATAGCAGAGTGTATACATATTTACTAGTAAAACCTGTAAGTTTTCCCGCGTATTTATATTTTGTAGCAATCAAGCAAATATGATCAAATTTCTCAGCAGACAAATTATATTCTTCAACAATCGTTGATTATTTGCAATGCATGACGTGACCTGATCACGCTGAAAAAATATTAGTTATAAAAACAGATGTAGTTCCTATTAGTTAATTATGTATTGCAGAATC